TATGCTCTAGAATAATGGCTTCTTCACTTGACACTGCTTCTTCATCACCTCCTGCTCACAACTGCAGAACGAGCACAGCTCCTGGTAACATTAATATATGGCTGAGGCAACTACCAGCATGTAATAATTATGTGTTGGTTTACAAGACCTTCCAAAGCTTTACCAATAATACTCCATGCTAAGCCAGCCTAAGAAAAATTACTTCGGGCTTATAAACCACAAAAAGCATTTCCCCAAATAGCCCTCCTCCAGTTCAGAACCGGCTGAACAAGCTGCTGACAGACAGAAAAAGTGACAGTGCCGAAAGCCAGCCTGACCCTGTTCTCAGTGTCACAGCAAGAGCCATCCAACCGGTCAAACTTACAGTGGAGCGGTGCAAGAATCAGAGCTGCGACTGCGGAAGGGAAAGATTGCTACCCCTCGCTCTCCCTTGGTGCTGCAGGAGTGAGATGCAGCCAAAGAACACAACGCTGGACCTGTGAGTTCATGCAGAAGCAGAGGTCTCACCACATTTTCTTCCTGTCAGCATTCACTCTTTGCTGCCTCACATTTCAGCTGCAAGCTTCTGGGGCCAAGGGCATCTCCGTCCTCACCCTCTCTTTGTAAAGCTCCTAATGCCACGGAGGCAGTGGTGAAAGTTGCTAAGCACTATACACAAATGATAAAAGGGAAAGCAATGCCGTGAAAACAAAATTCTTACTTTACCTGATATCCAGAAGGCATTTCTAACCTCCTAACTGTTCCTGACCAAGAAGAAACCTGCCAAGTCCTGCTTCATCAATATCAAGTCTCTGTAAGATAAAACCTTCCACACTTTGCGCATTTCCCCCCCAATCCTAGGACATGCCACATCCTCTAACCAAAGGGTGTGTTCTTCCCCCAGAGCTGGGCTTGTGTCCTCTAAAGGCGAAACCGTCCCTGGAATGAAGAACCATCCTCAGCTCAGGTCTTCGGAAGAGAAGGGTGAGGAAATAGAGGAGAGGAGACACTAGTGAAAAGGGATGGCTGGTTTACTTCCTTGTAGGAGACAGGAACCTCCTGACCATGCATTCAGTGGTGGTCCCAAGAATGAAAGCAGAGAGCAGCACAGCGATATGTGTGCTGGGAGCCACAGCACACTCCAAGAGGTGCCCCTGCCTTCAAGCAGGTCAAACATCACAGAATCATAGAATCCCAGGTTGGAAGGGACCTCAAGGATCATCTGGTCCAACCTCTCGAGGCAAGAGCACAGCCTAGACAAGATGGCCCAGCACCCTGTCCAGCTGAGGCTTGAAAGTGTCCAATGTGGCAGAGTCAGCCCCTCCCCTGGGGAGATCGTTCCAATGGTTGACTGTTCTCACGGTGAAACATTTCCCTCTCATGTCCAATCGGAATCTTCTCAGGATTAACTTGTGCCCATTGCCCCTCATCTTTTCCATGTCACTCCTCATAAAAAGGGAGTCTCCATCTTCTTTGTAGCCACCCTTTAAATAGTGGTACATGATGATGAGATCCCCTCTCAGCCTCCTTTTCTCCAGGCTGAACAAACCCAGCTCTCTCAGCCCATCCTCATATGGCTAAGAGAGGCTTTCCAGGCCTTGCATCATCTTGGTGGCCCTGCTCTGGATCCCTCCAGCCTGTCCACAGCTTTTTTGTACAGTGGGGACCAGAACTGTACGCAGTATTCCAGACATGGCCTGACCAGCACTGAGTAGAGTGGGATAATGACTTCTTTATCTTCTTTAACATACTACGCCATTGCCGGTTTTCTTACATTTTAACACTGGGATCTATCTTCCAACTCCTGGGTAGGAGTGAGTGGTGATTAAAAGACTCCAGTGCTAATTTCTATTCATGAAAACCATATTTCTCAAATGTTCTGAGGGAAACATGCCATTATTAAGATTTGAAATCTTACACATTAGAAATAACTGTATTACCTTAACACAATGGGTTCAAAGGTCTCTCAACAGTGAAGGAATAAAGAATTAATTATTCTTTTCCATGATTATAAACTAATCTGAATTTAATTGAATTCTCAGAAGGGAAGTTAAATAAAAGTTCGACGTGGTTAGAATTTTAATATAAAATAACTGTGCAATTGCTTGATTTCATCAAAATAATTCCTTCAAAGCAGCTTTTACAGCAACCTGTAAACATCTGCTCCCCCAGATGGCTCTTTTTCTTCCTCGCTTTGCTATCCTAAGCTTCTTAACATTGAAATTGTGCCTGTATGTAGCCACTTCCCAAAGACAGAAACTGCATTTATGTCCTCCCCTCCCCCCCCCACCCCGGTTATTTATTCATTTTATGGCTGCAGTACAAAGTTGCTGTGATAACAACATTCTCTGTATGGATGCTTCTGATGTTATCACAAGAAAGAGGATGTAATATGTGCTTTATGCAAATTTTAAGACATTGCAATTTTCTTTAAAGACACCAACGACGAACACGCCCTCAGGCTAAAACTGGCTGAATATCATTTCATACAAGTTGTAGCCCTTCAGGAAAATAAATTCCAGTGGGACCCCGGCGGTCCAAGGACTGTGCCCTCTGTCACCTTGCGACAAAGGACTCTTCCTGGCTCACATCACTACTGGGAAGCTGTTTAATCTACACCCTTAGGCTACAGCTCCAAGCCCAGCCCACGTGGCTGATAAAAGAGCTGCCTTTTAGTACTGTGGAATAACGTACTGGACTGCTGTACGCTATAGGTGCTCCTATACCTCAGGCTTGAGAATCTATACCCGCAAAAGGGTGGAGCGCCTTGCTTAAAGTTAAAAGAAATACGAAGTCTGTATTAGGTTTCAGAAAGACATTCAAAATAGTCGGAAATTCAGAGGCAAAGAGAAACAGAAAATCATGTGTGTAACCACTTGTTCCTGGAACAACCTCCCAGGGCTCCTCTGGGTGTGCCCTAGAGCAACGGTCTCCAAAGCAGAGCGTGCAAGACAGTCCATCGAGGTGCAGGAGGAAAGTCTGGTTTGTATCATTAAGAACATTAAAAATAAAAATAGCGTTCATTTCATCTTTACCTCACCCTGGTTTAATTTCTACATTTGCATATGTTTTATAACATGCATAATACACTAGTACAAGTATATAATTTATAAATAAGTAAACATACTGGGAGTGAGTGTTAATTTTTTTTTACTGATAGGGGTGAGCAGTCAAAAAGGTTTGAAGACCACTGGTCTAGAGGACAGGTTGTGACACAACTACAGATTTCTGGTTTCAGTAAGCATTGGTTCCCTGAGCAGCAAAGCCAGCTCCCAGATCTCTGCATGGACCAGGATGGTTTAGGAAGAAGAATTAGAGCTAACAGTGGGGGGAAAAACAGATTTGGGGCTACTTAAAGACAACAAATACATTGAGATTCAGGTATTAGAAGATACTAATCTAATCAGAATCGATCACCACAGTACAGACTTCCTTTCTCATTGGAAAAGGACAGAGAAGATAAAACTTTAAAATATTTCTAAGCATATACATGAAGAAAGGTATCTGGCTTTTGAAGGAGAGATCAACAGACAAGGTGAACTGTTGTCAGCTGGAGTTATTAAAGTTTTGGGGTTTTAAAGGGACCTCAATTTAAAAGTAGAAAGAGACAGAGAGCAGAGGGAGGAACTGACTATGGAAATGTTATTTCCGTTACCTCAGGCCACTCAAAGAGAAGGACTCTGTGCACTGTAGGATGAAGATTCCTTTGCAGAGATACTCAAAGATTGCCACTCACAACAGCCGTCAAGAAGGATGATTTCGCTGCCTCCAAACCCTCCGAAACACTGCAGCCAGCAGAATGCCACCAAGTAAAGCTCCAGCAACACTTCTTAATCGGCTACTATGTGGTATGAATATTGCCTAGATCCAAGAGCAGACTGGGAAAGGTAAAAGGATGCCGGGAATGGTCCCATGAGACTGAGTGAACCATATAGTACTGGGGTTGTACTGGGAAGAAAGAGGATCTGAGACATTAAGACAGGCAACTGCAGCATGAAAGTCCAAGTATGTATCACCAGATGATAAGATTCACTGGTGGGATTCATTTTGCAATTAAAATATCTAAAATTACGCATCTAAACAGGAATCTACAAGTGAGCTAAATTCCCACTCTAATCAATGCAGTCAGTGGAGGCTAGGGTGCAGTTCAACTGGCAGACCAGTATATGCCTATTTTAGGATGACATTAGATTCCTTTAACTGTCCGGATCTCAGCAAAGATCTGCTGAGTAGCATGCAACTTCAGATTCCCAGTGAATACAAAGATACCAACACTTAGACACCTACTGCTAGGTGTCTAAATCACAAGCTGTATCCCTTCTCCTTGGTACATAAGACAAGCTACAAGTACAAAATAAAAGGCACTCCAGCAGTGTCTCCTCTAAACAATTTTAAACATGAATTTCAACTATTTTGTGTGATAGGTAGAGAGCAAACTAGGAACTGTAAATTGCAAGGGCCAATATTTTAAAGCCAGCATCTGAATTTAGAACACCTGTCTTGGTCAATAAACCCCACATTTAAGAAAGCAAAATTATCTGTAAAATTAGTGAAGTAGCGTTTATGCACAAGTGTAAGCAAATGTTGATTTTTATCCCCGGCCTCTGCACGCTGAGAAGCAGGTGTTGTGGATTTCCATAGCACCATGGGAGACTGGGAAGAGACACTTCAAATGATTACAGTTAAATTACATTAATATTATTTTCATCCCTTCCTCAGAAAACCAAATTTCCAAGAATTGAACAAGTCACATTTCATGCCAAGGCCTCAGGGCCTGATAAGCACCTGCAAATCTTAATGACTTCAAAAGATGTTGCCAAGCTCAGCATCCAGGAAGACTTGGCACAGAACTTCAGATTGCATTAGGATCTTAGCTTCAGCTGGTACTCTTGAAAAGTACGCAATAAATAAAAACAGTCTTTTTGGACAATCTTAACTTTTCAAGGATCTTTGATGTATTTGCTTAATAAGCATGATTTAGGCCAAATTAACCTCCCACGAACCCTTTTTGCTCCAATAGTATAAAGCTGAAAGAGAACTATATGCCAGAACAAGGAATTACAAAAGCAGCTGACTTGGCAGGTGGCAGTGCAGGGACGCTCACACAGGACAAGGAGTTTCACACTACACTTGGAAGAACATCTCATGGTATCTCAACACTTAAATCAAATAATGGAGACGGTGCAGTTCTCTGTACCTGTTGCCTTCATCTCTATCTTGTTTTATCGTTTCTATCACATTCACCTTTCCTTTCATGGTTTATTATTCACAGAATCACAGAATCACAGAATGGCAAGGGTTGGAAGGGACCTCGGGAGATCATCTAGTCCAACCCCCCTGCTAGAGCAGGCTCTCCTAGAGCATGTTACACAGGACTTCATCCAGGCGGGCCTTGAATATCTCCAGAGAAGGAGACTCCACAACCTCCCTGAGCAGCCTGGGCCAGGGCTCTGTCACCCTTAGAGTAAAGAAGTTTTTCCTCATATTCAACTGAAACCTCTTATGTTTCAGTTTGCACCCATTGCCCCTAGTCCTGTGGCTGGACACCACTGCAAACAGACTGCTTCCATCCTCGTGACTTCCTCCCTTAAGATATTTGTGTGTGTTGATGAGGTCCCCCTCAGTCTTCTCTTCTTCAGGCTGAACAAGCCCAACTCTCTCAGCCTTTCCTCATAGGGGAGATGCTCCAGTCCCCTCATCATCCTTGTTGCCCTCCTCTGGACTCTTTCTAGGAGTTCCTCATCTTTCTTGAACTGGGGAGCCCAGAACTGGACACAGTACTCCAGGTGGGGTCTCACCAGGGCAGAGTAGAGGGGGAGGAGAACCTCCCTCGACCTGCTGGCCACGCTCCTCTTAATACACCCCAGGATACCATTGGCCTTCTTGGCACCAAGGGCACCCTGCTGGCTCATGGTCAGCTTGTCGTCCACCAGGACTCCCAGGTCCCTCTGAGCAGAGCTGCTTTCCAGCAGGTCAGCCCCCAGCCTGTACTGGTGCATGGGGTTTGACCTCCCCAGGGGCAGCACTCGACACTTGCCCTTAACACTTGCCCTATTGTCAACTTCTTGTTAAATTGCAAGATACCTGAACTGCTGCTCTCGTTTTTCAGCCACCAGTTGTTGTCTTTCTTTTTCTCTCTTCTCTCTCAGTAATTTTGCTCGCTCCCTCATTTTCTCTTGTTTCTCCAGTGCCGTTTCTTCAAGTGACTCCATCTCAGCAAAATACCTATTTTCCTCTGCCTCCAGAAGCTCACGAAGCCTGTAATGAAAACATTTAAATAAAAGCTAAAACAATCCTTCTGTTGAATTATAAAGTTCTGGTTTATTTGTTATGAGCACAAAATAGGCACCGGGCTCCTTTCAACACTTCTTGCAAGTGTCAAAGAAGGGAACATCAAATATTAACTCTGGGATAGATCCTGTTGTGCCCATGGAGGGGATCTTAGAGCACAACGTGAGTGATTCTGTCCTGGCACAATTTAAGCTCCTGTTCTTACAAACCTATTTCCAATGCTGCTTTACAATGTCAGTCCCCCATTAAACAAATTCGTCTAACTTCCAGACTACATTTATCACCAGTTGATATCAATTCGATCCTATACTATTGTTATCCTTCAGCGTAATCCCTTCCTGCTATTTACTACCCTTCTCTACACATCTATTCTTCTCCTCTCAAACTGTCTTTTGTTATTTTAGCATCACTCCACAAATCACTTCATCCTGAAAGATCTTCAATGAGAAAATCGGCAATTTCTAAACACCCCACCATTTACCTCTCTATTAATCCTAGCAGTAAGAAACCTGGGGCTAAGGAATCCAGAAACACACTAATTCTGTCCCGAATACCACAGCAGCCTCAGGGAAATCACTCTCACTTTTATGCAATGGGATGCCCCTGTTACTGCTCGAGCAATAATGCTAGGGACCTATGCTGGCACTGCTGGTGGGAGTTAATAGCAGCAAAGCCAAAGACCTACTAATTCTGGAAACTGAATTGCATTCTCTTCACCACGTACCGAGCTGAGTTTCCTTGCAAAGACAGCACGGGGATCTTAAGCAGCTAAGTAAGAACAAACACCATGAAGTTCAACAAAAATCCTGCACCTGGGGAGGAATAACCCCACACGTTGGTACACGCTGGGGGTGGACTGGCTGGAAAGTGGCTCTGCAAAAAGGGATGTGAGGGTCCTGGCACACAAGCTGAACATAAACCAGCAATGCACCCTTGCGGCAAAGAAAGCCAACAGCATCTACAGATCTAGGGAGGGGATTCTGCGGCTCTACTCCACTCCGATGTGACCTCCCCTGGAGCCCTGCGTCCAGCTTGGGAGCCCTCAGCACAAGGAGGACATGGACCGGTGGGAGCGGGGCCAGGGGAGGGCTACTAAAATGCTGCGAGGGCTGGAGCCCCTCTGCTCTGAGGCCAGGCTGGGAGAGTTGGGGGTGTTCAGCCTGGAGAAGAGAAGGTTGCGGGCAGAGCTGAGTGCGGCCGGTCAGGGCTTGAAGGGGGCCCAGAGGAAAGGGGGGGACAAGCTTTTTAGTAGGGCCAGCTGGGACAGGACAAGGGGGGATGGTTTGAAACTAAACCAGGGTAGATTCAGACTGGATATAAGGAAGAAATGTTTTATGATGAGGGTGGTGAAACACCAGGACAGGTTGCCCAGAGAGATGGTGGAGGCCCCATCCCTGGGACCATTCCAGGCCAGGTTGGACGGGGCTGTGAGCAACCTGATGGAGTTAAAGATGTCCCTGCTCATTGCGGGAGGGGGGAGAGCCTAGATGGCCTCTAAAGTTCCCTTTCAACCCAAACCCTTCAATGATTCTATGAGGAAGAGCACTGCCAGCAGGTCGAGGGAGGTGATCGTTCCTTTCAGCACCAGTGAGACCTCATCTGGAGTGCTGGGTCTGTTCCTGGGCTCCCCAGCACCGGAAAGACACAGACTTAGGGGACTGAGTCCAGTGAAGGGCCACTAAAATGATTAAGGGATTGGAGCACCTCTCCTAAAAGGACAATCTCTCCTAAAAATACTCTCTCCTATGAGATCTGGGACTCTGCAGCCTGGAGAAGAGAAGGTTCAGGGGGATCTTATCAATGTATATAAATACCTGAAGGGAGGGAATGCAGAAAAGAGAGAGACAGCTTCTTCTCAGTAGTGCCCAGTGACACAACCAGAGGCAATGGGCACAAATTAAAATATGAAATTCCACCTGAACACAGGAAAACACCTTTTTTTACTTTTTTTTTTTACTGTGAGGGTGGTCAAATACTGGAACAGGTTGCCCACAGAGGCGGTGGAGTCTCCATGTGCAGAGATAAGCAAAAACCAAATGGACACAGTCCTGGGCGACCTGCTCTAGGTGACTGCTTGAGCAGGGGGTTGGACGAGATTATCACTAGGGTTGGAAGGAACCTCCTGAGATTCCGTGCAATCACTGTACAATTCCTGTCCTGCGAAGACACATCAGACCACGATACCAAATCAACAACCTTCACGCTCCAAAGTCACTTAACATGAAAGAGTAACTGAGAAATTAAACCATACGATTTTTTTCTAAGATCAGGACAGCATAATTCTGTTCTTTACAAGATGGTGTTATGCCTCACCTTTATTATTTTTGGCAGACTTCTGCCAAATTTTCGTTTCTTTTAACTGCCTGTACTGCAAAGTATTCCTTGTAGGACCTTAACGTTAACTTAGCGAGACTGCAACAAAACCCTCAGTCACACCCAAGATTTAGAGCTTGACACTTTTATCAAAGTACTCTGTTATCTTTAAAAATCAAGCAATGGAAGTGCTACAATACTATTTCCACCCCGCATTTGGCAGAGAAGGCTCTAAATGCCACCAAAATTGTACTACAATGTTTGAATACATATCTCTAGCGACTGGCCCAGTGACTAGTACTAGCAACGAGAGTCCAAAGGCTAGTGTTTGCCCTCCATTGCTGCTTGACCACCAGTTAAGCATTCCTACACCTTCTGTTACAATGAATAACAAACACGATGCCACGATGCACAGCCTAACATACAGAGCTGAGCTCAGCTGAGTGGTTTCTCCCATAAGCACTCCCCTAAGCACACACTGAAGTTTAAAACAAGCAGGGCAGAAAGTGGTATTAGCTACTTGTTTACTACCTCTCTCTTCTCTCCTCAGTCCCTGCCAGATACTCCTGCATTGTCGCATCCACCTTCCTCTGCACAACACTGTGCAGCCATTTTTGTTCATTTCGTTGGTGCCACTCATAGACTCTGTGATACTGGTTGTACAGCTTTAAGAAATCAGCATATTCGAGGAGATCATTTTCTTTCTGTCTGCAGGCCAAGACAGAACGTTGACTTTTTTGTTCTTTAGGAGGCTTGGCTCTCTGTAAGAGAAAGCATATGTCAGTGGTGAAAATATAATCAGTTACTCTGTGGGGTTTTTTTTAGGTGAATTAATGAACAAATAGGCACACAACATCATATGATGAGAGTTCAGGGTGATTAGGGGTAAATTGTGCTGAGCCTTGCCTTGAAGAGCACAACAGCAGTACCAGAGCATGAAAGGCTCAGTACCAGTGCATGAAATGGCTTCAGGTGCCAGTACTTATCTGTCGCCCAGGCTATGGTTTATAACTTACCCTATTCATCCAAGAGGAGGGTGACAGCCGGCTTTACACATACTGAACAAACGTTATCACCGTGGGTAACCTCCAGCCGTCTCCTTCTCCAGCACAGCTCCCCGGGGCTCCAAGTGCCTCCTCACACACTGCTGCACCCCACTGCGCGCCGGTGGGGCCCACGCACTCCCAAAGGAGCGACTTCACAGAATCACACAGCATCCCAAAATGGCAGGGGCTGGAAGGGCCCCCTGGAGCTCACCCAGTGCCACCCTCCACCCAAGCAGGCTCACCCAGAGCAGGGGGCACAGGACAGCGCCCAGGCGGGGGTTGAAGATCTCCAGAGAAGGAGACTCCCCAGCCCCCCTGGGCAGCCTGGGCCAGGGCTCGGGCACCCTCACAGCCAACAAGTTCTTCCTCACGTCCAGCTGGAGCTTCTAATGCTTCAGCCTGTGCCCATTGCCCCATCGACCTCGCCCCGCACGGGTGCGGTGGGACCGGCTCCCGCTGTCAAGGCCCTCAGCCCG